AACTTACCGCTTGTAAAAAGGATCAAAGAAATACAATAAAAGATTTTCATTACTGAATAGTTTTCAGCTACAAATTGCACTTAAATATTAATTTTGTATAGGCCTATGGAATAGGACATAAACGAATTATTATGTATCGACAATTACGGTATATATAGTAATACACCTCCTACTAGGCATTTATTAATAATTACCATTACTTATTTCTGAACAATGTCCTAACAGTATTCCAATCATATTATAACCATTGTTTCATGTGTAGGATTTTTATTTGACACGCACAATTTATAGTGCGAATTAACTTTATGGCAATTGATGAAAATTCAGATGTTCGCATAAACATACCTTTTTAATAGATAGTATTTACAATGAATAGGTGTTCCTAGTACCTTGGAGGATATAGTGGGTTGCTTTCCGTAATTTGTTCTGTTGGATTTTGTAAAAACACTACTTTCTTTATTTTGACCGTTCTCGCAACAACCCAAATTTTCAGTTAAGATTGAATTAGATATGATATTTTCGTTACCACTATCATCAATTGCTTCATTAATGGAATTGAAGAATGATCACACATATATCAAGCCCACTAATGAAAAGGTACATTAAAGGAGAAAAAAAAATACAACGTGTAATTATGCAACACACGGTACTGAAGTGGAATTTCTTCAAACATACCGGGATACGGGTTTAGGAATTGGTTTAATGTTATTATTTGTACACTATGAATTTAAATTTTACGCGAAATCTACAGTCCACCAGACGATTCCTGTTTTTGCTTTTTGGTGTATTTTTCTACTATTGTTACGATTTCAGCTTTTATAATCGTAGGTATTGTCCGGATGTACATTTTTGTGCTATAGGAGCTTAGACAGCTTTCGTCCCTTTCATAAAGTAAACTGTTGGGGTGCGACTATTCCTTCAGCTTTTTTCAATTTTTCCGCCTCCACGTTTACGCCGCCCGGAACCCATAACCCCCGTAACACCCCCTACACCACGCCACTGACTCCAAAAGTATTTGAAATAAAAACAGATCTGTGCATGGTTTAATAAACAATTTACGGCAACACGACTATACTTTGTTTACTTTCTGTAGCGATGTGACCTTCAGTTTGACCGGCGCAAAGTAGAAAAGAACAGCACTAGGCCAGAAAAGGAAGGATACAACTCTCGGCCAAACTCATAACCGGTGAGGAGCGTATAATCCGTACAGTACTGCACGGAAAAATTGACCATTTTATCCACTACAATTGCATTGCTCAAATGTGCTGTTATTGGTAC